TATAGCATGCTCACCACATGTAAGATCAAACATACATGACACTGATAGAGCAGATTGCAGTTTATAAATATATAATGTCATGCCTTGCATACAGTCTCAACAAACTTGTCGAGTTTATCACTATCCTCTTTCTCTGCATTCCCGACAACGTCTTGCCTATCAACGTAATCAGCATCAGTACACTGATGTGGTGCAGTTTCGGGGTCCCGCACCTCCTTTAGCATTTTTCTATGCTCACTCACCTGGTTGATTTTTGAATTGTATTCTTCTGATGCTTTCAGCATGGCCATCCTCTGTTCCTCATAGCGTTCCGTCAATCCGTATTCCTGCAATCAAAATGTAAATACGGAAGAACATTAACGAGCTAATCCACTAGCAATCATTTACACCTTATAGCATGAAAGTATGAAATATGAAGCAAACGAGCGTGGTAAAACACAAATGAGAGATTATACTTGTACCTAATGTACAATATCGCCACATGTTCCAATGTGTGAATCACAACAAGGTCAACAGGGACATATGGGAGGTCTGGCAGATCACCACTATCTCTCAATTGTCCTTGTTACTTCATCTTTTTTCATGGGAGGATCCTATTGAATCGGAGGGACGTTGATAGCAATACCGGAGAGGCATGGTTGAGTGCCCTCAACATATCTGATTAATTGTGTTCCTCCTACCACTTCTTGTTCTCCAATGGCGAGGTGGCCCTGCTTCAGGAGCTCCTTGAGTTGTTGCTTGACATCTTTGTAAAGTATGTGTTTGCAAGTTGACGGAGCCATGGCATTGGAAGGAGTTCAGTTCACTCGGTCAAGAATGGAGTGTTGAGACACAAGCAATGGAACACAGATGAAGTCAGACGCAAGTTGTATTAAGTTCACAACCAACAGGAGACCACAAACCTCATAAAAGGCATAACACATGATTCATGCAACAGCAGTTGCCATGCGCAATTATTAGGGGGTTAACACTTTGTGACAGTTAAGTTACGTACTGAGTAACTATGGGAATTAACTGTTCCTTTCTCGTGGTACACGTTTAATTCATGAGAATTAACTATTCCTTTACACCATACTAATACTTATCTATTTAAACTAACAATTTGGTAATTAGTTGTTTTTTTTTTACTCGTTGACTTATAACGACAGTGGGGGTGAACGGACTAATTAATTAAATTTTTTCTTCTTCTTTTAGTAGTGGCCCAAGGATAATTTTTTGTGGCCTATATCATATGCATGAAGTAAAGAGAGTTAAATCTTCCTAAGAGGCCTGTAATTTAGCCCTGTTAATTATAACTATTACTTTGACTATTATATTTGATGGATGCCTTGATTGGTCAGGAAACCAAACAGGGTAAAATCATTCAACCAAACCAAACCAATGACCCAAATTAACAAACCCAAACAATCCGAATACGTTGTTTGGTACAATGGATCCATTTTAACAATACATTGTTTGGTTGTTGAGATTGTACTTTATGGATTGATTTGCATAAAGTTACTTCAAGGGAAAAAGTCACATTTACCCTCAACACTTCGTATAAGACAAAAAACTATTAAGGATATAAAGGGATTGAAAAAGTCTAAACCCAACAATCACAACAATCTCAACTTCTTTTATTTGAGATTGTATAATGCATACTCTTTTGTGATTGTTAGTGAGACCTACCTGAAACAACGCATGCATTGCTTTACACTTTGACCATATATATCATTGTATGGTGCACAATATTATTTGGTCCCTAACTAAAGGGTCATTTTGAGGTTGTGAAAAGCACAATCTATATCTCCAAACAAGTGTTTTTTTTTTCCAAATACACCCAGTCACGCAGAACATCAATTTAGAATGCACACATTGATAAATTCATCAATTTAAAGAATCACAACCTCCAAACGACCTCTAACTAGACAAAAAAATAACAATGGAATGTGAGATTATATTTTCAGCCGACGTCAAATTAATCGTCCATACAATGACACAAGAGACAATGAAGTAAAAGATAAAGTAAAGAGATACATTGTAGGACTCAACCAATCTTGGCTCTTCCATAATCGTCTCGACCTAATGATATTATTCAATTTTCAAAGATGACATGGCAAATCACAGGCAATGAAGGTTGCCATGTCGCAAAGAAATTTCTCAATAAACAACATCATTTATAATTGTAACTTCATCATCCATTGGGTTTAATGATCTAACAAAATTACTTTACAAACAAGAAACTAAATTCTACCAAAAACAAATAAGAATCAATATATTTGACGATCAATCATAATGCTTATAATAACACTTCACATGGTTGTTCCATTTTTTATATTCTTCACTTCTTCTTGTTCACAAGGTAAAAGGAGTGACAGAGAGTGTAATTATTTAGTAGCGCAAGGGAAATGAAGTCAAGTATATAAACAAAGTGACTGAAACCCAACCTCCTAAAATATAAGTTGATCCTCCGCTTTCCTCCTCCAATCTCCCTCATTCTCTTCCCTATTCTTTCTCTGACTGAAACCCAACAATGAAACCCTATCTGCCTCTATCTGACCGGCGCCATTATCTTTCTTCCGTCTTTTCTCTTTCAACACCAAAAAGACGCAGATGATGAGTAGGTGGAGATTGTCGTCGAGGGAAAATCATTGTCGGCTCGCTCTGCTGTTGCCCTAATCCATTACGATGTCCTGCTTGATTCTTCTTCTTCGCGAGATTGTGGTAAGTACCCACATGGAAGTAATAGCTCTAAACCCATATAGTCACTTAATTAGCAAAGTTGACAATCGATTGTTGCAAGATATTTGACTAATCACCTCGTTTTAATTGTCTTTTTTCATCCCAATGTTGTATTGGAGGCAGGATAGTGGGGAGTTGCAATATGTAGACGTCTAAATACAACACTGAGGAGCACCATATGTAGACTGCAGTTAGCGTTTCCATAGCAGTTGTTGTGGAACCATACTTCATATGATGCCTCCACTGTGCCACATTTACACCTACATATTGTGAATATTCCCTAAGGCAAGTACATATTGTGAATCTTCCCTGAGTCATGTGCAGAAGGTTTCTTAAAACACCACATCAACACAAACCATTTCCATATTAATACAACCAATTATCATAAACAGTTCATAAGCAGTTCAAAAAGAACAAAAACATTAAAAAAAAAAACAAAAACAAAACAAAAAACAAAACAAAAACAAAACCTAGCAGTTCTTCTTCGCCTCTCTTCTTCTTCGCCTTCATCGTCGATGCGCCTTTTCTGTTCCCTCACTGTTTGCTTGCCTTGTGTATTCAACCAGAGTAGCAATCATAACATCAATTCCACGCAGATGACGTTGGGATACGGATATAGATGACTCTGGGCACTCTTCCACTGCACGACTAGGTGGTCGAAGATGATGGAAAGTGTTGGCGTCTTCCATGATCGCAAATACAGGGCGACCGACAGAAGTGTTGCTCAAAAACAGCAATCCATCAAGCTTTATGCCAACTCGGGCAAGGAATCTGGTCACCAAATATATCAAGGGGCAACAAAAGATCGTACCGTTCATTGTGAGGGAGGAAACAATGAGTTACCAGCCAGTGAAGCAATCTGAGGATTCAGGCAGAATAGAGACATTTATGTTCCCTCCAGTAAGAGACTGGAGGTCTAACTCAGAGTTTTGATACTCTTGTTCATCTTTCAAAGATACACCTTGGCACCGAAGCTTTAGGTTCACAGCAAATGTGGGGGGATTGAAAAGAATTCGATCACCAAAGAACTAAGAAACAAAATAGGAACCATAAGGATTAGAAGCTCCTTTCACTAGGTTGTGATAAAACAGCCTTACAGCAAGAGAGCAGAAATGAGACGTCTTTGGTTTGTGAATGAATTACATTCTTCATCTTCTTCTTCCTCCGGCCGAAAATCCCTAACCACCACTTATCGGACGGATTACACTCACCTGGAATAAGAACGCAAAACTAAATAAATAAAAGGGCAAGACAATTGGCTTGTGGTGTGCTTTTATAAACATGTGGTGTGCTTTATGTTACTTTTAGAAAATGAAGACTTTCTAATAAGTAATATCATATATATATTTATTTTTAATTGGGCTCGACATTGAGCTGAAAAAAGTTAGTGGTTCTTAATTCAATTATTAGTTCTCTAGACTGTTGGTGAGTCGTGTATGGACTCGTTCATACTTGCGATTAGAATACATAAAAATAGTATACTAATTAGGGTTAGACGAAGAAGGCAAAGAAAAAAATAAAGAAAGAGTTATGGAAGGCGAGTGAAAAATGAAACGAAATGGAAGTAGATGATGAAAAGTTTTGACCAATTCTTTTAGTTGGCCATCAATACAACAATCAACTTTTTTTATCGTAGCAATTTATTGACACTTGCTTATGTAGATGTCGCATATTTTGTTACATGTAGTAAGTAGAAGTTTGTTTAGCACCCCGTAAATGTACTAAATGAGTTTATAAATTCTGCTCTTGTAATATTTTAGAGTCGTATCTCTTTTATCATTTATTTAATGTTTCATGTAATGAGCAAATATAAAATGGTTGAATCTCCTCCTACAATTGAGTGATATTGAGTGATACAACACATTCTACAAACTAAATTTATACTTTTATATTACGATGGATTGGATTCATGGATTGGTTCAAAAGGATTGATGGATTGGATTCATAGATTTCTGTGAAATGTAAACATAGGACCAATATGTAAATTTAAAAAATTGTAGGTACGAAAATCTCTTAAAATTTAGATACCAAAATATAATTTTTCAATGATTTTATATTAAAATTAAATTTGGGGTATCAAAATATAAAATTTACATTATAATGACTAAATTGTGATTTAATTAAATTTGATATATCAAAATAAAAAAATGTTAGGCAACAGTAACCTAATCGTAAGCTTTATATATATTAATAAATTTGTGTTTACAAACCTCACGCCAACATGACTATTTTCACAATGGTATTTAGAATTAAAAAATCCTGTATCATAACGAACCAACTGCTTCCACAAATAGTTTATATATATTCCCAAGCTCATCATATACCAAGAAACCCTCCCCCATCTTCCTCATTACCTACTACCTCCCTTTCACCCATTTAAAACCACACCGCCGCTCGCAAGAAAAGAAGTAAGAAGAAAAAAAATGGAGAGACGAGGAGTTCCCATTTCATCCATCATCATCTTCATACTCTGTCTTCTCCTATCGTCATCCGCAACAACAATCCCTGTGGCTGCACAATCACAAAACGCAGACTCGTGCTCGTCAAACGGCGCTCTCGTCGGCCTCTCCGGCTTGCCCTTCGACCCTTCCTCCCTCCGCCAGTGCCTCTCTGCTTGGACCTCCCGCAACTACATCCTCCGAGTAACTCTCTCTCTCTTTCTCTTTCTCTTTCTCTTTCTCTTTCTCTTTTCTTCCACTCTGCGGCCACATGCATGTCAAATTTGTCAAGCGACGTGTGTGTGTTTGGACAGTACTCGCAGGCGTCATCCAACGTGTGGAACTTCCTCCTGTCGGCCCCCGATGTGAACTCGTACGTGGCGGTGGGGTTCTCGCCGGACGGGCAGATGGTGGGGTCCAGCGCGGTGGTGGGGTGGAGCGCAGCGGACGGCAGCGGCGGGCAGGTGAAGCAGTACTACCTCGGCGGGCAGACCCCCGGGCAGGTGGTCCCCGACCAGGGAAACCTGGTGATCGCCACGTCAGCGATCGTCTCCCAGCAGTCCAGGCTGTTCATGGCCTTCCAGCTCAACGCCTCGCAGCCGTCCGACACGGTGCTCTACTCGCTGGGGCCCGCCGGAACCCTGCCGGCGGCGCCCGGGTACGCGTTGACCGAGCACCGGGATAAGGTGGCCACCACGTTGAACTACGTCACAGGTAACCTGCCTGCTTACTTACAGGCTACAGCCTTCCTTTACAGGTTTTGTTAACTGGATTAATTAGTTGGTTTTGTTAATTATGATAATGGCGTGATAATGCAAGGGATTAGAACTTAATTAGAATAATAATAATGGTGTTCTCTGGTTCAAAGGTCGTTACCCGGCCACCATGATTGCGTTACCAGCCATGTGAATTGTGAAGGGCGAGAATATCGTTCTTATTCATTTTTTTCAACTTTATTAAAATAATGGAAGTTATATATTAAGCTTTTTGTTAATGTCTGATAAAATGATAATGGAGTCCTAATTTAAAAACATATATGTCTGTGGAATACACTTCGTCATGGTGCAGATGCTGGGATTTATAAGAAATATAAAATCAAATATATATATTTACAAGGGAAAGGAGATAGTAGTTGGAGGTTAGATACATGGTATGGTTTGCATTATAGTCGGATCGAATTAGTATAAGATTATATTGCAATTAGGGATGGCAATGGGTGGGTTTGGGGCAGGTTTGCCTAAACCATCCCCATCCCCATCTTCAAATACCCAAACCCATACCCGCCCCATACCCATGTTGGGGAATGTTTTGCAAACCCAACCCTATACCCGTGAGTTTCGGGTACCATCCCATCCCCGTACATCCAACATTATTATACCTAAAACTTACAAGAAAAGTTTTAATTATAACCATAAACAAACCTATTATATCATGAAGTCAACAAAACACGGTCATTTTCAAAATACGATCCAAAGAATATGATCCTAAAACATCCATTAATACATAATATAGACTACAATATTTTTTAAATTATTATGCTCTAACTCTTGATACATTTACTAAGTAATAATTAACTAACATAATCTTGTTGACAAGGGGGAAAGTGAAAGAGTGGAAGGAGAATTGAGGGAAATGAATTAGGTTTTGATTAAGGTGGTTACTCAATTTCATTTTTACTATATTATTTTCTCGAGTTATCATCATCATCATTGATAGATTATAATTTAATCCACATATTTTTTATATGTGAAGAAATTCTCTTGGTGGGGCGGGTATGGGGTGGGGGAGGCTAAAACCATACCCGCCCCCATCAAACTTTTTGCGGGTTTTATCCATACCCACCCCATACCCGGTCAAAGCGGGGATTCCCCGTGTTGACTGGGTCGGGGGCGATCGGATACCCGCGGCCATGGGTTTGATTGCCATCCCTAATTGCAATAAGCAAGGATAATAAAGGTCAGAATGAAATAAAAAAAGTACGTATTTGATAATATTTTGTTTAGCATTTTTTTTTTGGTTATGCTCTTTAAGAAGGTACTTGGAGTAGAAAACCGTGCCATAAAGTAAACATTTTGAATTCAACTATTAAAAAAAGCGAATACAAATAATCTAATTTGTTCAAACCGTGTTATAAATCAACTAATATTAATAACTCGAGTGGATAGAAAAAGTTATTATGAATTTTATATCACTCTCTTACACGCCCCCCTTTAAAATAAAGTCACCTCACGAGTTTGAAGTTTGCGCATGCTTATCATACTTCGTGCTTTAATCAAATCAATATTGGGGGTCGTGGAAATTAGAACGTACCTGACCACCTTGTCGAACCAGCTGTGAATCCCTGTCATAAACAGTTATATTTCGACAAGTTGGTAATTTATGACATGATATCAGAGCTGATTTATCTTTGAGATCACGTGTTTAAATTTCGACGACCTCTAATACTAACCATTGTATTGAAGAACATAGTATGCCGGGCATGTGCCAACTTTAAGTCAATGAATTAACTTTCATTTGAGAAATATGTAAGAAAGTAATTAAATACTATACATAAAATTCCGTCAAATAACTCTGAGTTTATTAATAAGATGCAAGCAGATTTGGTGCTCAAACCCTAATAATGGCATCAATGTATATATTCGATTGTTGATATACAGTCCATTATCTTCTTTGTCCCCTGGTCATAGAGATTATCCATCTAATCTAACCTACTTCATCTTCTTACACTCCTCTTTCATTCTCTTATTGCTTAAAATGAGGACAAAGCGTGGTAATGATCAATTGTTTGACAAACCCTCTATTCTTTTTCTCCCATGATTTGTCTTTGCACATGATTCTCCTCCTGACTTTTGAAGTTCGGTGGCATATGATATGATATATATGGACAAATTTGAGATGAGTACTTTGATTATCGGTTGGTACCATTTCTTAATTGTTTTGCTAGCCTAGCACAACCTTTTCCCCTACCAAACTAGGGCCCAATAACAACTTCTTTCTTTCCCACATGCCGGTAGTTAGTTAGATCATTTGCTTGAAAACTGGAAGCCTTCGAAAACACTGGCGGACACCGTGAGTAAATATTCTCAGAGGTTTCCCTTTTACAAATTTAAATTTAAAAACCAATTGTAAATTTTTAAAATTAGTATATGATTTTTCTTAAACAATATATCAAATTGGTAAAAGTTGTAGCTAGCGTAATATCACTAGGTGTTTTTTATGTTGTTATTTTTTTAAAGTACAATTAGTGTCTATATTATTCAACAAATCTCGTTCAATAAATACTAGAAAATGATTTCAATATATTCTACTAGAAAATGATTTGGAACCTGATCGTGAAACACCCCGACCCTTTTAAACAACCGAAATACTCATGACTCCTAAGCTGGTTAAAACGAAGGTAAAAACAAATTCAAATACTACTTATTCATTTCCAAGAAAAAACATCAAGTGCAATGCCCTAAATAATTGGGCGACCACAATTCTTAAGATCTCAACCTAATCTTCAGTACATGCTCAAATCATAAATGCAATAACTAAACAAATCTAACTACGTCTCCTAACCGAGCTCCTCGAGATCTCGTCAATGCTGGTGAGGCTGCTCGCCTCGCCCGGCCTCTTCTCAAATTACACATCCGCTAACCCTTCCTCAACCTGGTAAGTGTTAATGGGTCAGTCTCGTCGTTATTATAGCATAATCCTTACCATAAGCATTTACTTAATATTTAACATTATTAGAATTTCCCTCTTACAGGAAAGCCGTTCTCGCTTTCATTATTTGTAATTTATTCCTCTAATTAACTTATAGGAGTTCTCTACTCCTATTCTTGACTCATACTCATAATCACTAGGGACCACCGCGTTACTTATCGTCGTCCGGTGTCGCTACCTCAAAAGCGATGGTACTGCGTTACGTCTCGCTGTCCAGCACCATGCCCAGCCAACTACTGTGTTACGTCTCGTCGTTCACTAGTGACCCAAAATATGTGATCAATTGTTGTGTTACATATCGCCATCCAACAGTTATCTAATCAACTACCGTGTCCAGTAGTGATCCAACCGCCCGAGGGTTCCCTTACTTAACTGAGACTATTCATACATCATCACACATATTCACATGCATAGCACAACGCGTGCCTCCACCTTCAGTAGGCGGTGGGGTACCTCAAATATTAATTGTGCATAACTAACTAAATTAATGACATAACTTGAAGTAAAAGACATAAACTAAAGGATCTCGATGAAAATTGTACCCCCTTTACACTCACCTCATTTGCTGACCTTGCTCGATTGACATGACCCCTCTTTACTGCCAGTGGATACATGCCAATGCACGAAATTGCACAACCAGTCTGCTCATTCTTATCCTCTTTTTGTACTTCCTTCTATTAAGTATTTAGGCAAAACTTAGTTCACTTCTCTACCAACGTTACTAGTCAAACAACCACCAATTCGGTTGGTTCAAATTCCAAACCGTTCGACCTCTCCTAAGTTTTGTCACCCAATTCTGGAAAATTATGCTTCTCTCTTGCGTATAAACCGAGAACTTCTTCCTTTCTCCCAACTCCCTCTCGTTTCTTCCTTCTGCGCATCGACCTTGGACTTTTAATTACCCAAATCATTACCGAAACGAAAACAAAAAAAAAGAGGTATCACAGATCTCTATTCGATTATGAAGTTTTGTTTTATTGTCACAAATTAATACAAGTTTCAGAAGCAAATAAACCGATGAATATAAGAGATTTCATTTTGTCTTCACCATCAACTCAGCTAATTCATCAACTCCTTTCAATTTTAGGAATTTCTCATCTTTCTTAACACAATGGTAATAATGTTTGAAGGTAGGATTGGGCAAACTAGAGGGGGGTCTTACCGGACTTATAAAAGATAGTTGCCCCTAGTCCAGAATGAAGCTTCTTTTATTTATTTATTTATTTATTCAAGTGTTGATAAATTGAACAATTTGGTTGGAGTTTATTTAATGTATAACTACATTTAATGTTTTCCAGTCTTACTTTATGGGCTTTAGATTCCAAGTCAACTTCAAATTTTTTTTGGTATGCTTATGATTACTTCGAAGTCATCGTGATTTGGAGAGAATGATTGACGACCGCTTTCGAAAAATAATCGACCGAATTGTATACACTTACGTTGTCTCAACGTGAAAATCATGAGCTTAAATTTGTGCATCACACTTATAGATAGTGTGTGTGTGTGAGGGCATAATTAATGTTTGAAACGTTTGTAACGTGCAGGGCAAAGTAGTAAGGAGGGGAGGCCATATACGAGACTGAGGAGGAGCCATGGCATTTTGAACATGCTGGGGTGGGGGATCCTCACCATAATAGGTGCCATCGGAGCTCGATATTTCAAGCACATGGAGCCCGTCTGGTTCTACGGCCATGTTTTGGTTCAGGGCTCGGCTTTCGTCCTGGGTACCGTTGGCGTCATTGCCGGGTTGGTGTTGGAGGGTAACCTTAGTGCCAATGTCTCGACCCACAAAGGGCTTGGCATTTTCATCCTTGTCTTGGGCTGCCTCCAGGTGCGTAACCGATCCAACCCCGGCCCATTCTTTTCCATTTTAACCCCTTTGATTAAAAATCAGTTTAATTACCTTGCTTGCTTTACCTTTTGTTCTTGAATATAATGATGTACGAGTTTTCAGGTGATGGCGATCTTGATTCGGCCAGAGAAATCATCCAAGTACAGGTCTTATTGGAATCTTTACCATTATGCGGTGGGAAGGATACTAATTGCTTTCGCCGTCGGCAACGTTTTCTACGGGATCCATTTGGGCGGGGAAGGGAGTGGATGGAACGGCGGTTACGGAGTTGCTCTTGCCGTCCTCTTTGTTATTGCCATCACCCTGGAGCTCAGGATGCGGCTCAAAGAATAATTAATTAATTAATTAATTAATTAATTAAACATGGCTGACTATTGTGCAACTTTTGTCGATCGATGGAATATTGTTGTATACATATATTTTTTATATTGATATGGTTGTTAAATTTTAGAAAGTATGTGCAGGGATGTGCTCTGTATGATCAGTATGGGGTGATTAGGGTGCTTAATTTGGTAATTTGATTTCATTGGATTTTGGTTGTTCATTTATATGATCAGTATGAGATTAGGGTGCTTAATTTGGTAATATGATTTTATTGGTTTTTGGGTGTTCATTTATGTATGGTCGTTTGTACTATTTCTCTTTAACTCTATACTTCTTGTTGCAAAGATGCTTTTGTGTGTTATTTATCTTTTTTTTTTAGCTCATTAGTAAGAAGTTCCATCCAAACTCGCTACACTAGAATCAACTCGTTCTCAATAAGCACGTGTCAATTGTAGGAGCAAGAATTTGACATTGGGGGAGGGGGGGGGGGGGGAGGGGCGAAGTTTCTTATTATCTCACTGTAACGAAGTGTTAAAATTATCAAAATAACAATAATTTTTCTTTTGATGAATCGATGGGTTTCCTTTCATAAAAAATGTGGTGCTAACAAGTACCCTGTTAGCTACGTAAATCCAACCAAATGGCTGAAGACAAAAACTACAAGGAGCAACTACTAATACAGCCTCTGAGACAAAAACCCAATCACCCCACCTAGAACTGACTAAGTCTTTGACTACCCAGGAAACATTCAACTTCAGATTTAATCTTCAGAAGGGTAGGAAGAGGACTTGTTTTACCAACATACATACGTCTGCAGCTTTCCCGCCATAATGACTAACCCAACTCTGCCAGATAACTCTCCCTGTTTCAGCAGCTTCTGTTGTAGCACTTAGTTTCGAAATGATCCAAGTAGCCTCATCATCCCAACTCTGCATGTTAGGGATTTAAATCACCCTTCCAAGGAGAGAAATATAAATCTGCCTTGAAGGCAGTGCACAAAAATATGGTCCCTGTCCTCAACCCCTGCATCACAAAGACAGCACTTCAGGTCTCCCGAGAACCCCCATTTCTGCATTTTTGCCTTAGTATTTATGCTATCTCTAATAACCAGCCATGTTAAAATCCGATTTCTAGGGATACCTCTGCCCTTCCAAACAATTTTCCACCAACTTACAGTATTCCTAGCAGGACGAAGGAGCTTCCAAACCCTCTTAATAGAAAAGAGATGCATAGGAGAGTTGTCCCACAGAAGAACATCTCCCCTAATCGAAATGTAAGGTCCAAATCTGCTGGGGAACTCCTAAGTAACGAACAGGGAATCTTCCCAACTGATATCCAAATCTATATGCTTTTGCTTTCCTTTCATCCCTGTCCAGACCTCCAAAGAAGATCTCACATTTACTAGGATTTGACTTGAGGCTTGAGACCATTTTAAACTGAGTCAGAACACACTGCGGTTCTTGGATACTAGCATTTGATGCATCCGAGAAGACCAGCAGGTCATCATCAAAACATAGATGAGTGAGTTGAACCCCTTTACACATGCGGTGGTAAGGAAAGCACCCCTCAGAAGCTGACTTATCAATGAAACAGGAAAAAACTTCCATTGCTATTGAAAAGAGATAAGGAGATAAGGGATCTCCTTGTCGAAATCCCTTCTTATTAGGGAAATAACCCACTAAACCTCCATTGAAACAGACACTAAGCATAGGTGTCCTCACACACATACGAATCCAGTTCACAAATCTTTATGGGAATCTCATACATTTGAGAACTTGAAAAATGAAATTCTAGTCAACTGAATCAAACGCCTTCATCAAATCTATTTTTATAGCACATTTGGTAGAAACATTATGATGAAAATATTTGTTAACTAACTCATGGGCCAACAATATATTCTCTCCAATTAATCTACCCTTAACAAAAGCTGTTTGTTTTTCACTACAACAAATTTGGCCTATTAGGACAAAAAAATTATTTTGTCATTTTCTGTTTGTCACAATAGGTACGGTGATATGACTAAAATGATATATGTCATATTTGGTTTGCCTAATGTGACAAAAATAAAATTGGTCAGAATAAGTCGTCATTTAAAGTGAGTAATGTGACAAATTTATCGTATCGCAATTAATTTTGTCAAAATAGGCGTCCCATATCGAGATGTAAGAGACTCAACAGTGACAATTTCATGTTGTCAGAATATTTTGTCATTTAAAGTGAGTAATGTGACAAATATTTCGTGTCACAATTAAGTTTGTCAAAATAGGCATCCCATATAGGGATGTAAGAGACACAAAAGTGACAAATTAACATCTATATAATATTTAAGTTACAATTTAATTCATGAAATACGGATGTTAAATGTGTTATACAAATATAATACATGCTTTATACGACCAGAGGTATATAAACATCTCTTAAACTCTAGCAAAAAAAACCCTAACCATTTTCCTCTTAACATCTCTGCCGCTCGGCCTCTCACTTCTCACGATTCTCTCTTCATTTTCTCTAGAAAAAAAAAAGCAAACTTCTATCTATTCTTTCCTTCTCTCCTTCTCTTCGATCTATTCTTTCCATCCCCTTTTCAGATCGAGCAAAGATACTTCCCCCCTCTCCATCTCTTCTAAAAAAAAGACTCAATCTGCCTATTTGATTTCTCAATCTAACCTAATCTCCCTCCCTTCTCTTCATTCAAAGATGAAACTAAAGAGAGACGAAAGGGCGGCGACATCAAAGGGCACGACGGCGATGAATGCCGACAGAGATGGCAATGACGATGTCAGTGCATTGAAGGTCAATGAACCTCACCTCTCCCTATCGTTCTCTCTACTTGGAAGATTTTAAAAAAAATTCGAAATCTGAAACCCTAGCTTTCTCGATCTGTCGCTGCCTCTTTGCGATAAACAAAAATCAAAATCCCCTTTCCCCTCTCTAGATCTAGCTTCGCCTTTTCTCTGTTTGGTTGGTTATGACGAGGAGGAAGAAGAAAGGAACACGAGGCCGACGGAGCAGACTGACGCCGATGATGCTGGCTACAGAGGTAAGGTTAATGCATCTATTTATTTCCGATACTTGTTTTGGGGGTGTTTTAGGTTTCTAATCGTTTTATTTTTTGTTCTGGGTTTTTTGGTGGAGGTTTCAAACGAGGAGAGGAAAGTTGGAAAAGGAATCGTTGGCGACAATACTGGCCAGTAACAGCGGTGGGTAAAATCAGCCATTCCTCTAGTCCCTCCTCTAGACCAGAGACGACGAGCTAGAGCGAGGTTCAAGATCTAAATCCTCGATGACAGCGACCGGGAAGCCAATCCCAACATCCTCGATCTAGTCTTTCCCTTATTTGTCTGTGTTCAATAGATTAGAGGCTGTAATGTAATTTGCCACTGCTCTTGTTAATTGTTGTACGAGAGTGGCAGGTTAGACTGCTATGGAAATGGTTGTAATGTTTAGGGTTTTTGGTAATCTTTCCATTATCAGGTTCTAATGCAGAAAACAATTTCGAATTATGAAATTTTTGAAGCAAAAAATATATTAATTATTATATTCAGCTATGACAAAATAATGTTGTCACAATACACACTTGTGACAGCTGCAGTCGTCACAATATACAGTTATGACAAAATATAGTCATGTAATGTGACGAACAATTCTCCCCAAATCACCAGATTATGACAATCTTAATGACAAAATATGTCGTCATAACATCTCTGTTTGTCACAATAGATTACCCAAAACCTCAGCTATACTGAAAGCAAATGTGACAACCTTGTTTTAAATTTTTGTCACATTTGACCTATCTTGACGGCGATAAAATGACAAACATTTGTGACAACACATTTTGTCATATTATACCTAATATGACAAAATCAGTATCTAATATGACAAAATTGCTTCGTCATAATAGGCCGAATTTGTTGTAGTGTTTTGCTGATTAGGAAAGGGAGGAGAGAACTAAGTCTGTTAGCAATGAGTTTAGATATGCACTTATAGAGGATATTGCAACAGGAAATTGACCTAAAATTTTTCATCTCATCTGAGTTTGGGACTTTGGGAATCAGAGAAAGAATTGGTGTATTAATAGGTCTAGGAACTCTGTCCTGTTCAAAGCAGAATTGGATAGCTGAACATAACTCAGGACCTATGAGAGGCTTGGCATATTGAAAGAAAGCAGCAGAGAACCCATCCGGACCTAGGCTCTTATCTCCATCCATAGCAAAATCACCTCCTTTATTTGCTCATTAGTAAACGGCTCACAAAGCCCCTCGGTCTGCTCTTCAGAGAGTTTTCTTCTCAGCAAAGCATCAAAGAATTTGTCAGACTGAGCTACAACTTCAGAGTCCTCTACACCCAATAATCGTTTATAGAATCTAACTGAAATTTGAGCCATCTCTTCAACATCATGAATTTGCTCTCCAACCTCATTCTAAGAACCCTTATAGTACTTCTTTTTTGATTTACTCTAACATCACGATGAAAAAAGGCAGAATTCATGTCCCCTATTTTTAGCCAGTTTTCTCTTGACTTCTTCTTGTAGAAAGACTCCTCTGCATCTAATAGAACTCTCAACTCCATTCCCAACTTCTTTTCAGTTTCAAATAGATATGCAGATGGAGCAACAAGGGCTTGTTGATGTATGTCATGAACTTCCATCTCCTTCTCCCTCACTCTCTTAGTTAAATTTGAAAACTCCTCTCTATTTAGCTTCCTCAATAGGTTTTTTAAGTTTTTCAACTTCTCACTGACCCTGATCAGTGGATGACCAGTAACATTACTTCTCCTAGCCTCTTCCAATAACTCATCAAACTTAGGGTGATGAAGCCAGAACATGAAAATTTTGAAAGGCTTTGGAAGCGACTTCAACATAGCAGCTGTATCAACATACATGGGACAATGATCCGAGACTCCAGGGGCTTGGAAATGCACCTTGCTGTCTTTAATTGAGTCCAGCCATGGAAAATTGACTAGAACTCTATCCAAACGCTTAGCAATTGGATTAGCTGTCTGTTTGTTCA